AAATTAATATAGTGGACAGTTTTGGTTTTGCGAAATCATAGTGTGTAACATTCGTATTGAACCCCCCTACCCCTAGTACTAGCCTAATTGTGAAAATTCGACACTTTCCTTTTTTCATCTTTTTTTATTTTCGTCCAGATTAAGTAATAAACAATACAAAAAAAAAAACCAAAAAATTTCATCTTCGTTATTATTATTTTTTAAATTGTTTGTTTTTTATTTTTTTCCAAATCAAGTGAACGAATATATATATAAGTAAAATATTTTTTTTATTCTTGTTTGTTTTAATGTCTGTTAATGTTAAAAAGAGCTGCTTTGTACATAAATACGACAAAATTTAGAATAAGGGAAAAACAAAAAAATATCTTCCTTAATAAATTTGTTGTTTATTGACAATAAATATCGAGTGGTAGCAATCAAATTAAATATGGCAAGAACTACTACTATAAACTCGACTTCGAATTCAACATCTGGTGCCTCTATTCATGTTTCTTCTACACGCCCTTCCCTTTCCACCACAACTAATCCATCTTTAAGAACAAATGCAAATATTGTAAATACTCAGATATTTAAAGATTTAGAAAATAAAGTAAACGATATATTGATTAGTCACGGTGATGATTGCGATATCATTGGAAACTTATTATATGTAGTAATGAGAAAAATAAATGATCATTTAATCAACGACTATTCATTGTTATCAAATAATGTTTCAATTAGTGATCTAAGGCAAAGACTAGTCAATAATCACAATAATCCGAGTGGTGTTAGATTTACTATCACAGGAACATTTAACAACGACAGTGATACTAATAATGATAATGTTGTTGTTAATGAAAATATTAATGATGATAATACTAGCAGTGATAATATTATCAATACTGATGACGATGATGGTGATGGTGACGAAGAATTATCCCCGAGTTTGTTTCAACAAGATTCATTTAACGATCCAAATTTATTACCACCTTTACCCGATAATCTTGATGAATTGCTTAATAAATTTACGCTAAACAACAACAATAACAATTATTTTGACGACGACGACGACAATAACAACCGCAACAAGTTGTATCATGATTCATATTCGTTCCGTTAAAAAATAAGTCATATAATTAAATAAGCCCATACGCTTTACATATTGTTATTATTATTATGATAATTTATAGCAAATAAATTATTATATGTGTATTTAATTTACACTCTATGATAAAATATATTTCTTTAATTAATTAATAATCTATCTATATATCAAAGTGACGAATTATAATCATTCATATAGTCGATTTATTTATCTCTTTACAATTTCATTTTGTTTAATTGATCCTGCATTTGAAAAAATAAATTAATAATCGAATCCAAGTAATCGAATCCTGTCTCATACTGAATTCTCCTCTCTCTTTGAAATAATTCTTCAATTAAAAATATTTGCTTCTTAATGTTATCGATGATCACATCATAATCCTGCTTGGTTGGTGCATCAGGTAAATTATGTCGATGCTGACGATGATTGTGATTGTGATGATGATGATCGTATAATGCAACGATAAAATTATTACAATTTGAATCATTTGTTGTTGGCGAAACTTTTTTACAAATATCATAATCAACTTCTTCCTCGTGATTGTCTTGTTGATTTTGAGATGATGTTGAAGATTCGGCAATTATAAGTTGTTCATATAATGGAGTTTTTGGTGAATGGTTTTCTACTTTTTTAACAATAACTTTTGATGGTGATGAAGGCGGTGGTGGAGTCGTATTAGAAGAAGAAGAAGAAGTTGGCAAATAATTTGATTCAATAACGCTGCTTGTAACATTATCATTAATATCATTAGAATCGTCAGAGGAATTCTCATTATCATTATTAAATTTAATATAGTCATTAGCGCCGTAGTCATTATTATCTTTATTCTTATAATCCTTCTGATTATTATTATTGTTTGATGATAGATTTTGCCTGAAATCTTTCTTATCATCATCCTTTTTTATCTTTTCATCTACCTTCTTCACCATCACTTCACCCTTTTCCATTTTCTGCTCTAAATCAAGAAACTGTTCAATAGCATTGAAAATGTTTATTTTATTACGATAATGGAACATAAGAGAAGTAAATCTTCCTTTAATTTGATCGGCTCTTCTCTTATGTTCGAATATTTGTTCACTGTGTTCACTGAGATTACGAAAGAATTTTGGTTTATTTTGTTTGTATTGATCATAATGACTACATAAATATTCGATTAGTTTCAATTCTTCGTTGTTGGACCAATTTGGAGGCTTTCTATTAAGTCTTTGTTGATTCTGTTGTGGGTATTGTCGTTGTTGCCGTGACAAATTATTGTTGGTATTATCATTGTAAATGGTGTTGGTGGCAACAGTGTTAATTGAAGCAGGATCAACAACGGCTTGTTGGCAAAGTCGATTTTCGTAATCGTTAATATTGCTATTGTTTTTGTTGCCAATATTTTTATTTCCATTATTATCATTATAAATTCGTTGGTTATCAAATTTACCACGATAATAATTGAATCGACCTCTTCTAATTTGACGTGGCATTTTTTTTTAAAAAATAAATATAAAAAAAAATTATTATTTTATGTGGACAATTATAAGGATTTAGAAAAGAATTGTTTATGTTGTTGTTATTATGTGCGAGTAAAAAAAAACGCATAATTTTATTTAAACTTTTTTTTTTTATGATGATAAAATTTTTTACGCATTTATTTCCTATAGCAACAACAATAAAAACTGTAATTTATTAAAATCTGGCGCTTTAGTGAAAGTTATTGTTCTTTCAATTGCAAAACGAATAAAGTTCATGTTTCTATTATATCTTTTAATACCACGCCGGCTCAAATAGCGGTTTTTTATAATGAATCATTGTTAGAATGTTTAGGTTGCATATCAGAAAGAACACACACATTACTTTTGAAGAGTAGAATTTTTTATTTGATCTCATTAAAAACAGATCATTATCATTAGCTAGCCCAGTAATAAAACATCCATAATCATTCTAGAATAAATCAACGACTCCTAATACAGTCAAAAATTGGATTCGACTAACAGAAAAAAAGGTAATTTGGTACCGTCAATGGCAAAACTTGAATTTTATTTATAATCGTTATTATTCGGATGAATATGCTAAAAACAAAAAGATCCGCGCCAGTTTTTTATTACTAGTTATTATATGCATCTAAAGTACCAATATATATTTCGTTTAAGATATATAGATACTTACTCGTCAAAAAACTTGGTATAGGTCGAGGGATTATGTGAATGTGACATTTTTAATGATGCTGAAGAAGATAAAGATATAGCCGATTTTGATTTTCAGAATTATATGATTACGTCGAATTCACTAAAAAGTGATGAGTGAGTGACTAAACCCTTGACTAGAGTGAAAAAGTGTTGGTTATTTTCAACAAATGGGTACATAGATTGTCAATTGCCCATATCCAGATTTTGTTATCACGTTAACGTGGGGATTGTGCCAATAAAATACCCCTCTGGGCCCTCTGACCAAGATTATATTGGCGAAAATATCAAAACCATGTTCACAAAATTGATGACAAATTAAAAATTTTTTATGTTTAAATAATGTTGTAAGTTTTTATTTTATTTTACTTAAAAACAATATATAAAAGAAAAGTGATAAAAAGCCAATTAAAAAATCTAATATATTTGGAACTCTTATTCCAAAAATATCATGAGCGAATGTTTTATGTTTAAAGTATGTGTATTTATAATTTTTCATAGTCTAATTTAGATTCTAATTTCTTTGCTTCTCCAACCTTACGTGCTGCTTTCATAAAATCTTCTTGAACCACATAATCTCGTTCTTCACGAATTGCAAACATGCCTACAAACATACAATATTAACTATTAAATCACGTGATCTATAACCAAAATCACGTACATAAACTTCTTTTCAACCAACCTGCTTCTGTGCAAACATTTCGCAAATCTGCACCATTAAAGCTGTCTGTTAACTTTACAATAGCTTCATAATCTAAATGGTTTTTAAATAATAATAATAATAATCACTATATATCGTCCAAATATCAGACACAATAAATAATATATTAAGACATACCAATTTCACCATGCTTAGTGATAGGAGCTGAATGGATTTTTAAAATTTCAAGACGCCCTTGTTCATTTGGCAAAGGGATCTCTATCTTTCTGTCTAAACGTCCAGGTCGAAGCAATGCTGGATCTAAAGTATCTGGTCTATTGGTGGCCATAATTAGTTTAGTCTGTCCTAGGTAATCAAATCCATCCATTTGATTAAGAAGCTAAAAATAAACAATAATAAATACCTGGTTGTTAAAATGATACCTTTTAGCAATTAAGATTTAAACATATTAAGATATATTTTTTTCCTTTGAGGTTCAAATCTACCTCCATTAGAGTCCTTTGTATTTCACGATCTGCACTGGTTCCTTCTGAAAATCGTCTTCCTCCAATTGCATCAATCTCATCCATAAAAATAATACAAGGTTCATGATCTTTAGCATACCCAAACATTTCTCTAATTAACCTGGCACTTTCTCCGATATATTTATCTACTATAGCACTTGAGACCACTTTTAAAAAATTTGTTTCAAGTGTACTAGCTACCGCACGAGCTAAAAGTGTTTTGCCAGTACCAGGTGGCCCATACAGTAAAACTCCCTTTGGCGGCTTGATTCCCACGCGAATAAAAAGCTCCGGGTTCATAAGTGGCAGTTCTATTACCTGATGAATAAAACATGGTAGACAAAGTTTGATTTCATATCAATTTGATTATTTAAATTGATTGATTTATTAAAAAAACTCACTTCTCGAAGTTCTCGGATTTGTTCACCAAGGCCACCAATACCTGCAAAATTTACTTTACCAGGATCTTCTAAGCTCATATTATAAACCAATGGATCAACTTCTCTCGGTAACATACGCATAATGGTTAATGTTGTCATATCCAAAGCCACCCTTGTTCCTTGTTTAAGTTTCTCTTTATCAACTTTATTTCTGCATCCAACAACATACCTTGGACCAGATGAAGCCTTTACAATAACTTTAAAGATCAATTTTTTTAAACAAAATGAGTAAAGAATATTAATAATTTAATACAATACAAATTTTTTTTAATAGCTTACATCGTTCTTCATCCAACTGTTTTAAAACTTCACCAATTATTTGTCCGACACTTTGCAATGCTTTGATATCATCTTCTGTTTTATTATATTGTTTTTCAAGATCACGAAGACCAAGGCGAACTACAATAGAACGATAATATTATTTACATACATGCATATATTTATATTTATTTTAGCATTGAATTGTTTCCATTGTGAAGTTACAAATCTAAAGGCAGGAATATATTTTCCTTTTGCATTCATTCTTATAAATGATTGTTTCAAACTTATCATTTTAATGTAAACATTTATTTGTATGATTCATTCTCTTTGAAAAAAAGGGAAAATTTTTGATTTATTTATTAACAAAAATTCAGAGGAATAAACTCACGTTCTTTAACATTTGCTTCGACTTCACGATGTTCGAGTAATTTCTTGCGATAATCTTGTAAAGCTTTGGCACGTCTATCAGGTTCAACAGGAGTGGAAGAGGAGGATGCCATGATTATTTGATTGATATCTTTGTATTTTACAAGAGGTGTAACCACTGATCGACTGACACAAATCAAATTTTTGTTGATTGGCTTGGAAAAAATCAAAAAATTGAATTTTAAATTTAATATTAAAAATGCCAAAACTTGATCACTTTTCTGTCAAGGTCGATTTCCCCGTATATTGTGCTGGTGTGTCATTTATAGCTTATTCCAATTAAAGAAAGGTTTTACTTTACCTAAACTAATTAATATATTTAGGTTTTACCCCCGCGCAAGAATTGCTTGTTGGTGGAGGTGGTGGCTATGGAAGTACTGGCATAAAAAATAAGTTGGTATGGTTTATCTTTCGGTTAATAAAAAAAATTTTTAAAATTTTGCTTACAGAAAAAATTGTTCTTTCAATTGAAGGCTTTATACAAGATAAAAATATCTGAAAAGGCAATTGATCAATTATCCGAATTATTATTAGACGAGGGTGATGATACACCATCAAGCGCTGCTTTTCATAAAACGGTGATAAAGATTAATTAATTCAAATTCTGGTTTTTTTTATTTGGAATGTGAAAATAAATTTTTAAATTATGATTTTATTATCGCCATTAGGACAATGTTGTAGCATGTGGCATAAACAGTTCAAAAGAAAATATTGAAATAGGAAAAAATTATAATTGTCGAATATTTGAATACTCTAGCAACAGGTTCAATATTTTATATTATATTTACGCAGGGTTTTACAATTAAAATCATATATGTGTGTGTATATATATATATATATTTACTTATTTATTCATTTATTGCATTTTCAGAATTGAACTTAAAAACAAGGTCCAGACTATTACTAGTACGAATTTGGAAGATGACATTCGTCAGGTAAGGGCCATGTTTATTTTTAATTTTAATAGGATGGATGGCTTCACCTTTTTAAATTTTTGAATTTTAGCGAGTTTCTACCTTTAGTGAAGATGGTAAATTTTTGGCTGTAGGTAGTACAGATGGAAAGGTATTTAACTTAAATTAATGATTTTATCAGTATTTTAAAAAATGAATATATATATAAATATAAATATTTAACTAATTATTAAATAAAAGTTGACCGTCTTGAAATATCCATCTCTTCAAGTGGCTTTTCCATCAGTGAGATTTAATCAACAAGAATTATATGACGCAAACTTTAATTCAAATGGAAGTCAGGTAATTTAATATTACACATATATATATGTGTGTATATTTCAGGATATTATATATATCTTTTTTTTCCCAATAAGATTGTTGTTGTTTCAAACAAAACCATGAGAATTTTTTCAACAGAAAATGGTAACTGCATATATGAAATAGAGAATCCAGTATTTCAAAAAACAACACAATGTCAATTCAGGGCTTGCCGGTTTGAATTCCTTAAGATAAATACTCTATAATTCACAGAATTATCAAATAAGTATTATTTATCATGCATGTTATCATATCATGATTTTTAGTTTTGGTAAAAAATCATCAGAAGGATTTCTCTACACTGTTGTAAATGTTTCTCGATCAAAGGCATTTATTGTAAAATGGAATGCTGATACTTGTGAACGAATATTTTCCAAAGTAGTCTCCAGAAAACCAATTACTGCATTTGCTATAAGGTAAATACATTTATATATTCAAAAAATTAACAAAATTTTTTTTAATGAAAATTTTTTTATTTAAAGCGAAAATGGAAATCTTTTATCATTTGCCACCTCTGACAGTACTGTGAGGATATCTGATGCAATCACTCTAAGGGTTTGTTGTCTAGGAACGATTATAATATTACTTGTTAATAACTGTTCATAAAAATTTTGATTATAACTTAATCCAATCCTGTAGGTACTAGTTACCATTCCCGATTTGCACAAATTTCCAACAACATCTTTAACTTTCAATCATGACAGCTCACTTCTCGTGAGTGGGTCTGTTGATACCACTATTCAAATTATAAAAGTTCCCGAGAAGTTTGATTCAGGTTGTTTGTTGTTTATTTATTTTTTATTTAATAAATTTTTAATAATAATAATAATAATTTATTGTCCATCATTTTTGGTTTTTTTGTTTAAAAAACATTATAGGTTATATTCAAGTATTATTGATTTTTATTGGAATTTTGCTAGCAATATTAGCCATTTTTTACCAAATTTATTTCAAGTAAAACATTATATAAAGCTATTTTATGCCAACACAAACATTTATAGTCTTATCAAGTGTATTTTAAAAAAAGATGATGAATTAATAAAATTCTATTTGATTATAAATTCTTTGATCCAAATCCTAAATTAACTAATTTATTTCCAATGTATTAAATAATGATGTTAGCCGTTTAAAAATCCTTAGCCGGCTGAGCCGTTTACTACCTAAATTGGTAATTTTATTTCTATAACAAGAAAGTAACGCAGAAATCCATTACCAAATTTAGAAATTATGCATGCAGATTATTAGCCGGCTAACATCACTAGTATTAAAACCAGAGAGGAATATATACAGGTTGTTTGTCAGTTAACCTTTTACACCTCATAGCATTATTTATGACTTTTTGTAGATTTGATCTCTTGTAAATTTTTTATTTTGATCTAAATTAAACCAAACACTTGTATTCCTGATTTGCAATGGTTTGATATCAAGATATATATATTAATAACTTTATTTAATGTTGCTGATTCCAATTTCCAGGTAATTATATTATTTACTAACCATTGAATTATTGAATATCATTATTAATATTGGATCATAACAAATTACCCATAATAAATAATAAGGCTCATTATTTATTTGATTCAAAATCCATCTCATTAATTTTATTAAAACAGATAAACAAATAAAACAATTCAGTGTAGAGCTCCGAACGAGTCGGGTCGGGTCGGGTCAGTGGTTCAACCCGACCCGACTCGAACTTTTAAACAGTTGACCCGACCCGACCCGTCGGGTCAACGGGTCACAGATTAAG